AAAAAAAAAAAATTCTATGTTTGGCAAAAAAAAAAATAAAAATTCTATGTGTAAATTTCACCAATATACAATTGCAGAGGTTACCTAATTTATCATAAACTTCGTAATTCTATGTTTACCTAATTTATAATCCTATATGTAAAATTTTTGGTCTTTTATGTCAATAATTAATTGTTAGAAATTTGAAATTTTTATGCACTGCTATCTTATGGAGGAGGAAAAAACAAGGTAGTTTGAGTGAATAAGCATAAAGGAAGCCATTCTAGGCCTAATTTCAGTTACCATTATTCTTCTTTTCTTCACATTATTTTCTAAATGATGATTTTTTTTTTGAATAAGTAAATGGGTAGTTATACATAATTACTTAACTTTAAGAAAAGCAACCAAAATTCGATAGTTGTGACAAGGCCACAAGCGATTTTGCTATGAAGCTATCAGATGGCTCGACTTTTGGAGTTGTCCATAGTTATTCACAAATGGTGTATTGACACGTGTACTGCAATAAATGCACACTGGACATGTATCAATATATAAAAGTAAATGATGACTCAATAAGTATCATCCGATGGCTCTATAAAATCTATGAGGCCACAAGTTTAGGAGTAATAATGCTAGACACGGACAGTTTTGTCTTTAATGTGAGCTGCCTGCCTAAATTTACAGATCAATTATTTACATATCCCATGTGAGACCTTGAAACTTGACTTAAAGATGATAGGGGATTATTACATCTCTGCACCGTTGATCACAGCTTGAGGCTTTTATAGCATGTGGCAAGAACATGAAAAATTCGATCTTGCCCCTGTCGGCACTTTATCACCACACGATCAACACTCCTGCCTACACGGGTGTGTGTGAATCGAACGGTGATAAAGTCCTTGTGCTCCTCCAATGAACTGAATTCATTTTAAGGCTGCTGAATCAAATCACAAATCTATAACAACCATAATCTGCATTTCAACCTACATTAGACAAAGAAAAAAATGTAGATATTTTCCAGCCTTTTTCAGCCTTAAGGCTGAAAATCATTTTCGTGTTCATTTTTCATTTCCTGTTTTCTGCAAAAACTCCTTACACATATGACATACCTATATTCCCAAAGTCGGTACATACAAAAATATATTTTATTTTGTTTTCTTAAAAGAAAAGAAAAAGTAAAAAGCGACACATTTCTTTCGGCTTAGAGCCTTCTCACATGTGAGTATATATTTACTTGAGTTTCTTTCTGGCACGGCCTCGTTCGATCGACAGCCTAAGACCGTCCTACGGGCCTCAGATTACACCATGGATGTGCTAATCCAACGACCAGCCAAGAACGTCGAACGTATATATTATTTATTTACCTAAGATTTTTTTTTCTCTTGCTGCTTCTGGTTCAGTCTCACCAATATTTCTGCGTATAGGATTTCATTCCACACATCAGGCACACCCGGAAGGCACCAATGACTGCAGTCTTGAAAACTCAATGGCGATCTTCTTTCCTCATCGGTGTAATTTCTTTTCCGGTATATGGATGGGTGGCCATCCTTTCGATAGTCCGTCATGCGCGTGACGTTTAGATAAGTCACACGGGTTTTCATGTTTCTTATGACTTTCTCCAAGACGGTCATTTTTGGGGGATATGATGCGAGATATGTCTCGTTCTGTATGGGTTCCATTTCGTGGTCACATTGCCCACCTGAGTTCCATTGTCCACCGCTGTAAAAAATAAAGAACAAATTAGATTACAAAAGATAAATGCTAAGTTGGGTGTTATTCGATTGGGATTTCGAGTGACATTTTGAGAATTTTGAGACTTGAGACTTTTTAAGGTTTTCATATTTTGAAGGAATACTATGATATCTTAGGTCTGGAGGTAACAAATCCTAGTCTAAAATAAGTTAAATAACTCAGGGATTTTGCAGGTATTTCTAAAATCTCAAACGAATACCTCAAGATATTAATAAGTCTTAAAAAGTCTAAATTAAATACATCGGGATTTCTAAAGTCTTAAAAGGTCTTGAAGAGTACACCCCCTAATTTCGAGTTGAGAATAACTTTTCCTCCACAAATAGAAATCCTTTTTTATGTCGTTTTCTCCAAAGGTAGCAATCCCGAACACTCCCTTTAAGACAAGCTACAGACACTATCTCATTAGTCATTATATTATAACATCTTAGTACCTAAAATGAGATGCAGAGTAGCCTCTGAAGAACACGAGCGACTTATTTGGATTGACATTAGCGTCTATCCACCTTGCCCATGTCGTTGTAGCCTTCCGGAAAGCTTCCAGAACATTCAAGTCACTGTACACGTGGCTGCCCTCTTGATAATAGTCCTTCCTACAAAAAAAAAATTCAAATAACTATTGTCAGCATTTATCAAAATATTTAGCAATCGAAATAATGTGCACGGTCGAAAAATAAAGTAAATGAGATTTGTTACCCTAAAGAAGTCTTCTCGTGAGTCCACCAGTGCCCTGTATTGAAAACGATGATGTCCGCGTTTTTATACTTATCGGCCGATTGGCTAACCAAATCGAGTCTTAGTGTTTCCTTTTTTGTCCCATTCTTTCCCGTTACTTCCCATTCTTGAACCAAAAACGGAGTCACGAAAAATTCCACCGTGCATTTATAGTCCTTTTAGAAGATTGAACAAAGGATAACTCAGAGAAGTTTTTAAGAAATTCGTTTACTCTCAAATCAGTAAATCACAAGTACACCTTAGATTTTCAGGGTGCAATTTATGAAGCAGAAATACGCGCGGGGAATGATTTTGTAATCTTACAAGACTAAATAGATTAATTTATCGATTAATACAGTTAAATACTTACTTCAAAGACAAAGGAATAAGAAACCTCTCCACGGAAACTGTGCCGGCCATTTTCTTCATAAACTTTCTTCTGATCTTTCACAGAGTTCCGGAGGATGCAGACAAGAGATTCCCACATATTCCTGTTCAAAGAATCACCCACGAAAACTAATCTCTTTCCTCTCAGTAACTCCAAAAAACGACCTCCATCTAACCTGAAAACAATGCAACATCAACAAAATTAAAATGGTTGTATGACATAAATTATAAGATTACAATAACAAAACATCAACAATGTTAATGTTAATGTTAATGTTTACTAATATTAGTAAAGTGATTGCCTCATGCGAATGTTCAGAATACAAAACTGAACAACAGAATGCACACTCAATTTATGCACCATGTCATTGGATGATATGATGACATCCAAAATAACCTTATAATTCAAAATTGCAAGTCAATTTTTAACTGGTAAATCACCTCAACTGTCTCCTTGAAATGAATGTCTGCACATGCTCATTCATCAATTCCAAGCAACTAACTTGACAATTAAACTCATTAACTACTGAAACCAAGCTACTATAAATACATTTTAATAGTCGAAAAATATTGCAACCTAATTTCGGAAAATGCTACCGACAAATACACGATGATCTATCCCGACGGAATGATTCTGTAACGGGACCTTAGCATTTCCCCCTAATTTCTTCTAATAAAACACAATCGAAAAAATAAAATTCAGCCCGGTTCATCATACCTTGGGAGAATGCAACCCTTTGGCTTCCACTTCAGTTTGTAGTAGCCATTATCAGGCCTACCATTAAGGAAACAATCAAATTGCTCGTCAATCAGAGAACAAGAACCAGGCTTGTACAGCGGATAAGATTCATCTCTCACCCAATTCCCATCAAACAGATCACACTTCATCAGAGACTGAATCAGATCATCAAATCCCTTATTGGACACACCCAAATTCGAGCCATTATTCTGTTTATTCTGCAAGGAAGTTACATTCTTGACCATAACATCATTTTCTCCTTTTGCAGCAACACTTGAATTTGACTTATTAAAGACTCCATCTTTAAGCGATTTTTCGCCCTGTGACGTCTTATTTTGGGCCTGATTTTTCATCTCTGTTGAGGGCTTTGATGGGTTTGTGCTGTTCTTCACGGTTTGATTTACAGAGGGTTTCTCTGGCTTCAAAACTTCATCTTTATGAGTTGAAGCTTCGGCCTTTGTCTGGTCTTTCACAACAGAAGGCTTATTATCCGAACTGGGTCCCGATGAATTTGGGAAAAAATAACTATAAATTGAAGAAAAATGAGATCTGTAGGACTCATCGGAAAAAATCGAGGGGTAAGGGTTCGAATTTGCAGTACCGCCGCTCCTCGGGGTGTTTGTGAACCAGGGAGAAGAAGGATTTGCAGAAGGGCTGAAGGCGAGAAAAATGGTGAAGGCCGTGAAGATGGAGATGAAGGCGTAGGCGACGGTGACAGTTCTTTTGGCTCTGGTGATTGAGAAATGGGTTTTGACGTCTGAGAACAACGCGCCGCCGTTGATGGGCGCGTACTTCACTATGCCTACCATGTCGGCAGTTGGAGGAGGGTGTGTTTTTTTTGTTCTTTCTGCAGTTGCCCTGAAAAAATATGTATGATTTCCTTGAGAGATGAAATAAATGGAGGGGGGGCAGTTGAGAGAGAGAAAGAAAGGCACATGTGAGATTTATTACGATGTGTTAGAAAAAAGTTGTTCTGTAGCCTCCTTGAATGCTATTGTGCTGGCCTGTGTGTCTGTTAGTGTACATGCCTTTGGAGAAGACAATAGAACAATTGTGTGAAAAGGAGAAAAAATGGTTTTAATAATGGAACGCCATTGACGTGTTTGTAGACTTCACTTTCAGTAAACACGTATAGAGTCTACTCCTTCGGTGTAAATAACGCCAATATATAATTTTAGATAATATGTCAAAAGTTTAACTTTAATATTGGCATTAAATTTTAATCTACGTGAAATATATAAATTATATTTAAATATAATTATAAAATTAAAATTTGAAATTATTTAACAAAATGAATAATTTTATTGATGTATGTTTTGTCAAAATTATATTTAGAATTAATTAGCGTAAACAGTGTTTACGTCTTCAGACTTCACAACAGTGCGAACATGTAATGTAACATTGGATAAATTTTTCACACTACCTTGAAGTAAAGTTGCAATGTAGAGGATCATTGGAGTTGCTCTTAGTGTTTAAACAAATTAATGCATTGTTTTTCACATTTTTTTCGTGAGACAACCCAAAGCTTTATCGTAACTTTTAAATATAAATGTATATTGATAGAAAAGAATGTCCAAAACTTTATTTAAATTATTTTATAGTCTGACATTTGATTTTGAAAATATGTAGGTATATTGAAAAATATAGAGTTGTATATCAGTTGAGTCTGTCTAAAAAATACCATTATGATACTTTTTTGTTTTTAAGTATTATTCTCAAGATTATTATTATTATTATTTTTGTTTATCAGTTGGTTTGTGTTTTTTCAGTTTACCATTAAACTTAGGTATTATTTTTATAAATATACAAACTTGACTAAGAAAATAGCATATAATAAAATACAGTATACGAAAAGTATAGTATTTAATAATATATGTATGCATTTAGATAGTATCTATTCTCCTAAAAAAAATTGATTATATTAATCAATGTTTAAATTAACCATCAAGCATATATGTCTAATAATAATTTAACAACTAAAGGAGTTTCACACACTGGTATATGACAACGTGAGTCCCTTTTATTTTTTGATGATGGGTAGACTTTTGCTATACCACAAACAATTCAAAGGAAAAAACAAGAAAAATAAAAAAAATAAGATTAAATAAAATAAAATGATGAAATATAATATGACAATCCAAAAAAGTCTTTTGCGTGTGGACATTACAAACAAATTCGTGATCCGTAGTTAGACGTGGCCAGGTGCCGGTTTCGGGCCCGGCCCGCCGGGCCACGGGCCCTCAAACAGTCGAACCGCAACCGGCCCGCTAGGAACGAAGGGCCGGTTCGTAGAACCGGCCCGAACCGCCGGTTCACCGGCCCGGCGGTTCACGGGCCGGTACGGCCCTTAAAAAAAGCAAAAGAAATGACCCGGCCCGGCCCGGCCCGGCTGGACCAACAAAAAAAACCCGTGACCCTTAACCGGACCGGATTGGCCGCGGTCCGGTTCTCGAACCCGGCACTGTTCATGCCGGTACCGGTACCGGGCCGGGCCGGGCCGGTACCGGGTCACGGGTCGGGCCACGGGCCGGGCCGCCCGTGGCCATGTCTGTCCGTAGTACCTCACAATTTGTACATAATCTATATATATATATTAAAAACCAACCTATTTACCAAAAATAGTAGCAAGAAAAATCAACACACATTTAATGCAAACTTTATTTGGAAATTTTTTACTATATGCATTAAATGCTTGCATACTTACATTTACTATTCAGATATGATCGTAAAGATTTTTTCCTTAAATAATTTATGCAATATTTTTACTGATATCCATTATAATTAATATTTGTCGAGTAATATTTTTTAACCTTTATTTCATTATATAAAACTAATATTTTTTTAAAAAAAAAATAATATTATTTATCATTTAAAAGATAATGATCACATCATTAAATGATTTTATTGATGGGTAGACAATATATTATACTACCTCCTATTTTAAATAGATGTCGTTTTGGGATGTTGCACATCTATTAAGAATATTTTTTTTGTCAATAATGACCTTATTTAATGAAGATAGAGATGAATGTTTTGAGAAAAAGATGAAGAGTGATTATGAAAAGACATGATGTATTTATTAGTTAAATGAGGGTAATAATGGAAAAAAAAATATGTACAAAAGATCCAAAACGACATTTATTTAGCAAATAGTTGATAAAGCTAGAATAACATTTAAAAAAAATAGGAGGGAGTATTAGTTATTCTTTAAAATTTCGACATGTTATTTATTTGTATATTATTGTCAACTATGATAGTGTTTTTATCACTTTTTTTTTTTATAATTATGTTTCAAAAATGAACTTATTGTAAAATATTTTTCTATTGCATAGTATGTTAAATAAACTATAAAGCCTTAGGATGAAAATTA